TTTAGCCACCTGCAACTGTCGGGAAGTTTAACGCATCAGTGACGTCTTAATACTCTCCATGACAAAGCCTTGTGCTTTACCTATACGCAGTGTGTGCTTTACCTATACGCAGCGTCTATGTTTACGCCGATCTGTTGAGCGTGCGCAGGACAGCTTATGTTAGTGACAGCTTATTGAGAGGCTACTTTATGTTCACACTGATACTACGAGCTTACAGCAAGGTGTAAACATTTTGTGCGCTTCGTATCTGCAAAGAAAGGTGCTTTATAAAAACCAGATTGAATTGGATTTTCATTGGCTATGTGTAGGGATTCCAGAGTAAAAATGTATTTCAATACTTTGTAATTTTTTTTGGCATCAGCAGAAAGCTCATTGTGTCAATAATAATATCTATGACCAAACATTTTGAAATTCGATCCACTATTAATTATCCATAGAAATCACAATTACGCACCTCAAAATCATTTTTTTCCCAATCTATCACTAGGCTTCACAACATAATGCAAAGCACCCTCTCTAGTCGACACTAGTACTATCATTAATTATTATTACTCAACTTTGTAGCGGCATAAGAAAAGCTTTAAAGTATTTAGAATCTTGTTTGTTATTTAATCCAATGATTATAATATTGATAGACATTTAACTAACATATAATTTATCTTCCTCAAATAGCTGGTACAGCCAATCTCAACTTTCAACATGATTTAAGAAGTAGGCCTATGTTACATACAAATAATTGCTGTACTATGGATTCTTTTTTGTTAGTAATATCTGCCGATTTTCTTGAATGGATGCTTCACCAACCTGCTGAATAGACACCTCCAGAACAAAAATATTCAATAGAACATATAACCATGTCTCATTACAGCAACAGTATTGGTTCTTTGCCAATCATTTTTATTGTGAAAAATTCCATTGTATAAAAAGAGAGCAATAAATTATCCGTACAACTATCCTTTAGATAAAACTCTATACACTCCTAATTGCATAGAGGATATATATAGCATCATCACATCAACACTATCAATTCATTGGTTGGGAAATTCCTGTTTTACTTCAACTGAGTGCTGCTGTATCTTGTAAATAAAAAAAAAAATACGTTCATAATGGTGTTGGATTCATGCTGCCGATTTTCTTCTAAAAAAAATGATCAAAGGTAGTGTACTGTATAGGTTTTGCAAAAAATGTTTATATACAAAATGTGCATAAAAAATATTTTACTCAATCTGCTACTCAGAATGAAACAGGAAAAATATCCACATATCAATATATATTAAATTTCAATTCATAAACAAACCAACAGGTCAAAAATGTTTTTTTTTTTTTTAACAGGACGGTGACAGCGAGTCCTGGGATAAGTGGAAACAAAGAGTGTAACTATATAATTACGGGAGTACGCTCTGTTGTTCTATTTATACTCTTTTGGTGGGAAGAAAAGCCTAGGCCTTGAGTACGCTCTGTTGTTCTATTTATACTCTTTTGGTGGGAAGAAAAGCCTAGGCCTTGTTTTTTTTTTACAGGACGGTGACGGCGAGTACTGGGATAAATGGAAACAAAGAGTGTATCTGTATAATTACGGGAGTATGCTCTGTTGTTCTATTTATACTCTTTTGGTGGGAAGAAAAGCCTAGACCTTGTTTTTTTTTTTACAGGACGGTGACGGCGAGTCCTGGGATAAGTGGAAACAAAGAGTGTATCTAATAATTACGGGAGTACGCTCTGTTGTTCTACTTATACTCTTTTGGTGGGAAGAAAAGCCTAGGCCTAGTGTATGCGAAAACTAAGTAGGCTAGGCACTGCTGCACACAAAATACTGTAGCCCCCTTGTTCTCTACTTAATATTAATAATTGCTAACTTCAAAATGACGCCTGTTCTTTTGGGAAACTTTGTGGATGCCTCAACGGCTGTTTTGCACAGGTTACTTTTCATCACAAGATTCTCAATTACACATGCGTATGGGTAAAAATTTTTAATTTGCGCGAATAAATTTAAATTAAATTAATTAGCCTTAAATTAAAAGTTATCTACTGAATTGCCCTTGTAAACATAGCCAGTGAATAGTGCTTATGCCTTGCCGTAAGTGTAGCCTCATGGCATCACATCTGAGTATGTGATAGCCTTTCAATAATGCATATGGTAAGCCTTTGATGTAACAATCTGTCCTGCACATGCTCTATACATTGGCGTAAGCACAGCTTTTAAGATGAATAATGCTTACGACTCATAGACAGTGTGTTACCTATATAACAGGCATATTTGGAATACTGGAATATCTAGAAATGCAAGCTGGCAACAAGTCTTTACCTTATCTCTTTGTGATATAAGGAGGCTATGAGTTAATACTCATGGAGACTGCCTCCTCTCAATGTTTCTGTTGTGCGCATTTAGTTCCTTTTGCTCAATTTGAATTGCTGACGTAATTTCAAAGTCGTTTCAAACTGTGTGCGTATATGCAAACTGCGCAAGCATTCTTTCAGCATTTGTAGTAAAATTTGACATTTATATTATGAACTGATATTGATATTATCTTATTATTAGATTATGATTGAACATAATGTATTTTTTGGGAGATATACAGAAATTCCGATGCTTTTTAAATCGATCGGAAAATTTGCAATAAAAGGTAGGCCATAAATGTTGTATGTGGGACACACAGCACGGACGATAATTATTGAATGTATGAAAGATATACCACTACTAAAAAACTAATATGAATAGGCCTGGGCCTATAATAG